TGGATGTACCACCTGCCAGTACCTGAGCCAGAGATTCGCTGAGCTGGAGGGGAGAGTATCTGTCTTGCGCCAGATCAAGGAGGACGAAGAACTCCTGGGCTCCATGGTTGCACAAACCACCTCCAAAATCGACGACGTCACCTGCCCCTGGCTCGGCACCTCCACTTCTGGGGAGCTTGTAACGGAGAAACTCCATTCGGTTCCCTTAAATGAGCCATGGCCCAGGCTAGGAGCTAAACCGAAGGGCCCGGTCTGTTCCACCCCTTCTGCTCCGCCTCAGGATGCCTGGATTGCTGTCCGGGGAGTAAAGCACTCCAGGAAACGGAATCCATCAAATGTTTCGGAAGTGCTACAATTAGGGAGGAGATTCAAGGTCCTGGAATACCTGGAAGTTACTTAAAGGGGTCCCTCAGGGTTCAATAATTGGCCCACTATTGTTCTCACTTTATATAAACAACATTGGTAATGATGTCAGATATTGTAAATTCCATTTATATGCAGATGACACAGTGATGTACTCTATTGCTCCAACAGCGGACCAAGCTTTAATGCAGTTGGAGTCTGATTTTAGGATACTACAGGGGTCTCTTTTACAGCTTAAACTTGTTTTAAACGCTAAGAAAACAAATGTCATGTTTTTTTCTAGGTCTAAACTCTCAATTAGAAACACTTTTGTAATCACTAGCTTGGATGGTACTCAAATCAAACAGGTCTCTGCATATAAATACTTAGGGGTATGGTTAGATGATAGGCTTTCTTTTTAAAAAACATGTTACTGAATTGGGAAAAAAGCTCAAATTCAAGATAGGGTTCCTTTACAGAAACAGGGCTTGTCTGTCCAAATTGTGCAGGCTACTTTTATGTCCGTTTTAGATTATGGTGATATTATCTATATGCATGCATCGGCAAACACATTAAAACCACTGGATGCTATTTACCATTGTGCACTGAGGTTTATCATGGGTGATAGTTACAAAACTCATCACTGTTTCCTATATCAACATGTGGGTTGGGCCTCTCTATCTGTGAGGCGAGAGCAACATGCTCTCTTGTTTATTTATAAAGCACTTCTTTTAAAACTATATCATCATTAATTTCCACTAGATATACTAATTTTAAAACCAGATCACAGATGTGGATTACATTAGAGACTCCTGTGGTCTCCACAGAGTTAGGTAGGACTGCCTTCAGTTCATTTGCACCTTATTTATGGTATAAACTGCAGATCCAACTTAAGTTAGACACTCTGGTGTCCCTTGCCCATTTTAAAAATGTTATGGAGGATCAATATGATGTTGTCTGTGATTGTTTCTGTTGAATTGTGTTTTTGTTTTGTATGTTTGAAATTTTATTGTCTGTATGTCTAAAACTGTACATGTCAACATGTTTACACAGGGCACAGCCGTAAAAGAGATCCAGGTCTCAGTCTGTTTTTCCCTGTTAAAATAAAGATTTAAAAAAAAATATATATATATATAAATATGCTAGCTGTTCCAGTAAACTTCCAGTCAACGTAAGTTAGCAATGGCTTGCGAAACTACCTTCAACTTCCTTAAAACTGCACGAAGAGACAATCAAATTTGCAAAATGTCGCACTATCCCTTTAATTTTTTTTTCACATACTTTCCTCACCAGTGCCAGCCTGGGTTGCATTCAGTTCGACAGAACGGTGTGCAATATTAAAGTCAATGGAAACGGTACTGTACTGAATGACCACTTGAAAAACTTTGTGATTATGGGGCCCCATAATAATGGTGTATGACACGAGTTTTGCGATTTCAAATGGTCACACCAATATTGATCAAGCCACACCTCCCCACACCCACCAAACGGGAGCAAACGTATGAAAACCTGTCGTTCAGTACAAACCATCACACAACGTAGCAAACGTTGAAGCAAACTGAACGCACCTCAGGTATGCGTTTGGGGTGGAGATCACTGAAATTGCGGTGTGACGGAGGTGTGTCTACAGATACACATATTCTGACCCTGACTAAATTCCCTCCTATTTAGAATAAGGTCAAGCAAATCTGACGGTTACAAGTGGAAAAATATCTACGTTATTTTTTCCCAATAGAAATAACAGCATTCTCCAAGCACTGTAATTTATAAATTGATAAGAGCCATACTTCCAAACTTTAGGTTTAGGATTACACTGGTAATACATCATAATTTGTTGTATTAGATCATCATTTGTTGTTTTACTTGTGAGGCACAGTTGAGTGAGCATAAATTGAAATAAGTTGCTTTCTTTATATTTACTGGACTGATGGTGCCTGATGGTCAATCTCAGCGGAGGGAGAGCATCAGAGGGTCCGCCTCTCACCATCGGACGGTCCCTCAGCTCTCCCCCCTCCGCTAAGTCTGACCAAAAAGGGGACACCGTCTTCGAGCTGATGACGAAACTCGAGTCAAACTGCATTATTTCTGCCTCATGCACAAATTCATGTTTTTACTCCTATGACCAGAGAAAGTTAAATATTCCTCGATATTAAAAAACACACAGCCGCTAATAATAACAATGCAAGCCTATAGATATGCTTTGCTACAGTACTCATTCATTGAAGCTGCAGTGTTGGTTTCATGGCTTATAAGAGCTGAATGAAAAGTGTTAACTGTGCTGAATAAAAAATAAAAAATAAACTCACTCATAAAAACAACAGCTCTTTGCTGTATTTGTTGATAGTCATGATCGACTAGGAATGCCTTGGAGACCGACCAGTCAATTGATCGACCGTTTGGTAACCACTGCTGGAAAGCATATCAACATGACAGGTATTTGTGCCCCTTTCCCACAGTGAAGTAGAAAATGATGACATTATACAGCATTTTAATTGTATGTCCTTTTAATTTGCAGGGAGGAAACTTGGAGACGCAAGTATGAAAAAAAGTATTTTTTAAAAAAAATTATGAAAAATGTATGCACTCACTAACTGTAAGTCGCTCTGGATAAGAGCATCTGCTAAATGACTAAAATGTAAAATGTAAATGTAAGTGAAATGGGTACAGAAATCTGTATTCTATTTTTCTAATACATCTCCCATTTGGCATGTCTCTTCTGTTGCAGTTCATGTTGACATGACAGCTGCTTTTTGTTCCATGCTGGCTGAAGAACTAGCTAGCCAGTAACTAGCTGACATCAGACACAGATGAAAGGGGAAACCTATCAATTATTATTTTGACAGGGGAGTCAAGCTGAGACCAAGGTCTCTTTTGCAGATGAGCCCTGTAATTACAAAAATATACACATCAATACAATAAGTATCTTTCCTATAGATACATTTAGGCAGCAGTAGACAAGCTAGCTAGCTCCGAACACGCTTTATGTGATGATGGTTACAAGGCAGTACTTATTTAAATTCGGTAAGAGAATAAGACGTTACCTTTAGCATATTAAAATGAGCGGCTAGATGTGATGTCACACACTCATCAGGGACCCCAGCCACCCAAGCCATGCCCTGTTCACACTCAGACGCGGGCAGTACAGGAGCATCATGGCAAAAACTGGAAGACTGGCCAATAGTTTCTACCCTCAGACCATCAGGCTGCTGAATAGCCACCACTGGTCAGCTACCTGCTCCCCCCTGCTACTCCCCCTATGGATATTTCTCCACCCCTACTCCCCCTATGAACATGTTCACCCTCAACGGTCACTTACCTTAAATGCTGCTTCTCCCTATGGACATTTTCCCCCCACCCCCCCAACAGACTTTTACTCTGCTCCCACCCCAATGACATTCATCACTGTTGCAGTTGTTAATATGCATATAATTGATTTTAAATTATAATTGTTATTGTTCATATTTCACTTTTCCCCCAATGGTCATGCTGCTCCCCCTATGGTCATTCCCCCACACCCCCTAAACAAACTCAGCCTCCACCCCAATGGACATTTCCATTATTTTATTTAACTTTGTCCTGTATGTTGGACCTCAGAGCCTAAGATTTTCCCTTTACCCTGTAATCACACCTGCAACCCCTGTACATGTGACTATTAAACACTCAATCTGAATCTCCACGGGGTTGGCAGAAAGTGGATCTTTCCGGTGTTCAGGGACACAGTATTTTCAACCTAACTTCTGTTTGCCCTGAAAAACGGATATGGGGACTCTGCTCAGGCGTCTTTTTACACCTGCTACGTTTAAAAAAAAAATCACACAAAGCCTCAATAATCCCGCCTCCTGAATTCAAGTTTTTGAGGAGGAAGCCAGTAGTGATGTGCAGTTCGCAAACGATTCGTTCTTTTTGACTATTCTCGAGATTCATGATTAATTTTTTCGAGTGACTCATTCATTACTTTTAGTCGTTTGTTTGACCTGCTGGCCACAAGTAATTCTACAGCAGGATTAATACGCTCTCCTCCAGCTCAGTAACTTCGGAGACGTGCTCCGACCACCAACTGTCTATCATGTGTGCACAGAAAAATGTATCATGCTGCAGGCAGCATAGAGAACTAAAATATGTGTTTAGAACTGATAATTGATTGCATGGTGCAAGAACGAATGCAATTAATTGATTATTGTATGTTATCAATGGACACAGCTTTGTAGAATGAAAACATAGACATTTGCATTATGCTAAGAGTCGTTCATAATCTAGCAACTATACCTCTTTTCAAGGGAATCAATAAATAATCTTATTAGCAATCACAAATGTACATTGTTTGAAGCACACTTTTATAAGTCTCAGTAACAAATGAAAGTTCCAATGAGCCCCCCATTGTGAACGAGAGGCTTGTAGAATCATGATTCTTTCAAGTTTTTATATAATCGTTCACCGGTAGGGGGTGGTCCTGCGTGCTCTCGGCATTACTGAATCTAATGAACGAAATGAGTCGAAAGATCCGAACTTCCCATCACTAAAAGCCAGTAACGTTATGATCAAACTTTATCAATGTACCAGCAACAGTAATTTTTCAGTCTTTGGTCATCGCACTTTGATCTGGGTTCATCCAAATGAAAAAAACATGATTATGACTGTGCAGGACCTTTAAACTCACCTTTGGACAGAGAGTACCAGCTGGCTCCATTGGTGATCCCTTCATCAAAGAAATCTCCACAGTTCCAACCCTTATGCATCCAACTGTGGGCATACGAATACGTCCTGGCCAACTGTAAGCACACAAAGACACATGTTTCAATATGTGCTATAATGTGACTGAGCTTTCAAATCTGTTATCTGCACCTGTACCTTTTTGAATATCTTGTCATCTGGGGTTGCAGCGTATGTGGTCTTGCCTCTGATGCGGGGGTCCCTTGACTTGTCAAAGGGGTAGTTGGCCACCACTGCCCCTCCATGCAGGTTAGCAGACAGAACAAAGTTATAGTTCTGCATCCACTTTATCACTGCCAGTGTCTCCATTTCAACCTGTAGGAGGCCAATGAGAGAGGATTAACTACTTTTTAATGTATACTCAGTTTATATGAGACATTTTAACACTCAACACTCAAACAAGGTATTGAAAAAAAACGTGGTTAGGGTAAGGTTATTTTATTTTTAGTTGTATTTACTTTATTACAAAGTGTGCTTGCTGAACTCAAGAGCAACTCTTAAAATTGTTCATACTTATTATTATTATTATTATTATTATTATTATTATTATTATTATTCACTTTCCGCTGGAAACTGTAGAGCCAAAACCGTAAAAGCTACCAACAAAAACTCTAAAACGTCTAGATTGTGTGCTTGAAAAAAACATTTTGAAAGTACTTATACTTTTCACACTACAACCATAATGCATTAATCCCAATGCATTTCAATTGCCATAGACTTACATCTTATCCAGAGCGATTTACAGTTAGTGAGTGCATAAATTTTTTCATACTGGCCCCCCGTGGGAAACGAACCCACAACCCTGGCGTTGCAAGCGCCATGCTCTACCAACTGAGCTACACGGGGCCACTTGAATGGTAAAAATGTCCACTGTAATTAGTCTTCAACCGTTTAAGATAGAAACGTCATTCAAACTTTTAAATGTGCAGACCGTTCTGGAATAGGTTGTTTGTATACTGCTTTTTGATACCATGTATACTTTTTCAACTTTAACCATTTTAAATTAGCATAAAAGCTCCATAGGCTTCAAAGACAATTATGGATTCGCCACTGCTTTCGAAGCATTTCAGCTACAAAAACCAACACAATGTTGACATGTGCAGACTGACTCAACTTCGATTGCCTTTCAAAAGATTGTTGATACTTTTTGTACTTTTTAAACTATAACCATTTTACATTTTCATAAAAGCTCCGTAGACTTCACAGGCAAACTTTAAAGGAAACGTTTGCTTTTTTAACCACCTAGAGTTGATGTCCACGCCCTCGTGGACATCTAATTAGCATAATAAAAGAATCAAAATTAAATCTGTCAGTTTAAGCTAGAAGTATCAAATTATTTGCGTTGTCGCTCTTCCACATCTGTGGTGAAAGGTGGCAGAGCTAGAGCAGTGTTTGTCATACCATGAGACATCCCACAAATCGGTCTTCTCATGAAAACATCTGTAGCATCTGAACAGTTTGGGCTACACACTAATATGACACACTAAGGTGAGACTCTGACGAACACGTACATGTCGGTTGTTTTGCTCTAGGGCGCCCACCAGCCTCACAAGACTAGTCTGAAGGTAGCCGGGTACCAGTTTAAAAAATGAATGGAAGTATTGTATATATGGAGATAGTTTAGTGCCCAAAATAAGGGGTTAAATACATGTCAACATTTTTTAAAATTAGTTTCCTGATCTCTCAGATATAGGACAGACACTTCAGAACAAATTTCCTTTAGATTTGTTTTTGCTATCTGTTTATTCATGTATGAAGCTGTTATTCAATGTGTTTCTATGGGCAAATAGCAGTAAGGCCAAATTCAATGTTTCGTTATATCATTTTTTGATATGATTTTTTTGATACGTTAAGGGGTCCTAAAATTCCAAATCAAATAACTAAATTATCCTTGGTATGTCCATCTTAAAACAATTCCATATGTTAGCTTAGTAGAACCCCCCCCCCCCCCAAAAAAAAAAATAATATCTAAATTATGTATGTAAATGTCATGTTATTTTGTGATTTCACTTGTTTTCGAGAAACTTACCACAACCACCGAAAAAACATGAACAAATGCTCCAGAATCACCCAAATACATCCTTTTAGAAACGGATCTTTAGATGTTGTACACATGAAATTGTGTCATTCCAAACTATATAGCCATGTTCTATTCCATTTTGAGCGACTCGAGCAGATTCCTCTATCCAGCTGTTCCATTCTCTATAATAATAATAATATGCCATTTAGCAGACGCTTTTATCCAAAGCGACTTACAATCATGTGTGCATAAATTTTTACATATGGGTGGTCCCGGGGATCGAACCCACTAACCTGGCGTTACAAGCGCCATGCTCTACCAATTGCGCTACAGAGGACCTCTATGTAGCCTGCTGCTACAAGTAACTGCCAAAATAAAGGAAACACCAACATAAAGTGTCTTGAGCTTCCAGAACAGCTTCAGTGCGCCTTGGCATAGATTCTACAAGGGGCTGGAACTTCCTGTGTGGAAGCACCTGCTTTTAATATACGTTGTTATATTTAAAAATATATATATTTTGGCAGTTACCTGTAGATTGGACGAAGAGGTATCCCTCGAGTCGCAGCTAAATCAAATATAACATTGCAGATAAAGTTTGGAATGACACAATTTCATGTGCACAACATCTAAAGACCTGAATCACTAGAGCTGAGCAATTCGTGCTTTTTGAGGTCGGTTCGGTTTTGGTTTGTTCTTTGAAAAATAATCACGGTTTTCAAAACAATTCTTTGTCTTTTTATTTTTTTATTTTTTTTACAATAAATGCATTATGTGGGTTAAATGATGTAACAAAACAGAATAAAACAATTGATGGTAGTGAGTGACTGCCCATTACTATCTCTTAAAATATTTTGCTTGTGTAGCTTACATATTTGTTTTTAGTATGATGATGACTATTATTTCATAATAAACCCCAATGATGGTAGTGGGGGCGGCAGGTAGCTTAGTGGTTAAGAGCGTTGTGCCAGTAACCGAAAGATCGCTGGTTCTAATCGCCGACTAGGTGAAAAATCTGTCGATGTGCCCTTGAGCAAGGCACTTAACCCTAATTGCTCCTGTAAGTCGCTCTGGATAAGAGCGTCTGCTAAATGACTATAATGTAAATGTAGTGACTACCCATTACTGCTTATCACTTATTAATAAACTATCCTTTATTCACATTACTTTACTAAAATATTTCAGTTGTTGTGTATATTACTTTTTTTATTTGATGACTTATTATTTAATTCCAAGTCGTCATCTCATCTCTGCTCAGGCAGTAGCGGCCAGCCAGCCATCTATCTCTGTGCTCCCCAAAGAGTCATCCTTCAGGCTAGAAGGCTAGCCTAGCTGGTTAGCTGACTGCTTTCCGACAAAATCACAATTTCAGTAGTTCTTCAAAGTAGATAAGGCATACTTTTCAGACTGCTAAATAACAACTATCAACTTGACAAGATGGCGCAGGAGGAGATGGCTGCCGTTTTATTGCCCTCTAACCAGTTGTGCTATTATGTATGTTTTTTCACGTTATTTGTAATTTATTCTGTACATAATGTTTCTGCCACCGTCTCTTATGACCATGAAGAGCTTCTGGATATCAGGACAGCGATTACTCACCTCGTATTGAACAAAGATTTTTTCTTCAATGAGTCGGACATGAAGGATATTCTACAGACACCCGACAAGGACCAAATCCCCATCATTCACATGAGAAAGAGACGGAGATATCGTGGACGTAGGTTGGGGTGCCTTGTAAGGATCCGACGACGGGCGAGTAGACTGCCTCTTCCATTAATCCTATTAGCCAACTTTAATGCAGGGAAACTTACATCTCTAGACCACCTTTACGCCACACACAGAGACGCGCACAAAGCTCTCCCTTGCCCTCCTTTTGGCAAATCTGACCATAATTCTATCATCCTGATTCCTGCTTATTAAAAAAATTAAAGCAGGAAGCACCAGTGACTCGGTTAATAAGGAAGTGGTCAGATGACACAGATGCTAAGCTACAGAACTGTTTTGCTAGCACAGACTGGAATATGTTCCGGGATTCTTCTGATGGCATTGAGGAGTACACCTCAACAGTCACTGGCTTCATCAATAAGTGCATCATCTCCGCAGTGACCGTACGTACATACCCCAACCTGGAGCCATGGATTACAGGCAACATCCGCACTGAGCTAAAGGGTAGAGCTGCTGCTTTCAAGGAGCGGGACTCTAACCCGGACGCTTATAAGAAATTCCGCTATGCCCTCCGACGAACCATCAAACAGGCAAAGAGTCAATACAGGACTAAGATTGAATCGTACTACACCGGCTCCGACGCTCGTTGGATGTGGCAGGGCTTGAAAACTATTACAGACTACAAAGGGAAGCACAGCCGCGAGCTGCCCAGTGACACGAGCATACCAGACGAGCTAAATCACTTCTATGCTCACTTCGAGGCAAGCAACACTGAAGCATGCATGAGAGCATCAGCTGTTCCGGATGACTATGTGATAACGCTCTCCGTAGCCGATGTGAGTAAGACTTTTAAGCAGGTCAACATTCACAAGGCCGCAGGGCCAGACGGATTACCAGGACGTGTACTCCAAGCATGCGCTGACCAACTGGCAAGTGTCTTCACTGACATTTTCAACATGTCCCTGACTGAGTCTGTAATACCAACATGTTTAAAATAGACCACCATAGTCCCTGTGCCCAAGAACACTAAGATAACCTACCTAAATGACTACCAACCCGTAGGACTCACGTCTGTAGCCATGAAGTGCTTTGAAAGGTTGGTCATGGCTCACATCAACACCATTATCCCAGAAACCCTAGACCCACTCAAATTAGCATACCACCCCAACAGATCCATAGATGATACAATCTCTATTGCACTCCACACTGCCCTTTCCCACCTGGACAAGAGGAACACCTACGTAAGAATACTATTCATTGACTACAGCTCAGCATTCAACACCATTGTGCCCTCAAAGCTCATCACTAAGCTAAGGACCCTGGGACTAAACACCTCCCTCTGCAACTGGATCCTGGACTTCCTGATGGGCCACCCCCAGGTAGTAAGTTTAGGTAACAACACATCTGCCACGCTGATCCTCAACACGGGGGCCCCTCAGGGGTGCGTGCTCAGTCCCCTCCTGTACTCCCTGTTCACCCATGACTGCATGGCCAGGCACAACTCCAACACCATCATTAAGTGGTAGGCCTATTAAGTGGTAGACCTTATCACTGACAACGATGAGACAGCCTATAGGGAGGTCAGAGAACCTCTCCCTCAATGTCATCAAGACAAAGGAGATGATTGTGGACT